GGGCTTAACCAGCTCAAGAAAGGGCACGAAGCTGCCGCGCGAAGCCCTCACCATACAGGATTTTTAGAAAGAATGCAAAGTACTAGCGTGCGAACTTACCACAGTGTGGATTTTAGAAAGTGTACAAAGACTTCACGTGCACACTTACCATAACATGGATTTTAAAGATACCGTTCTAAGGGGCCCAAGTGGAACTCTGAAAGAGCAGCCCATAGATGGAAATGGTGCATCCCAAAAACAATATGTTTGAGAAGTCATCAACTCGATCTAAGGTATAATGCTGGAGTGGCTAGCAGTAAATATCTAGCTGAGGGAGCAAACACCAAGCTCTCAATCGAGAGAGGGGCTCGACCTACAGCATGTTCCAATGCTGGAACAGCTAGCAGTAATTTACTTAGCTGAGGGAGCAACACACCCAGTTCTCAATCGAGAGGGGGCTCGACCTACAGCATGATCATTAGAAATCAGAAGGGTAAGCGTACTGCAAGCTAGCCAACTCTAAACTCATCTGCCAGATCCACCTGCAATCCCCACGAGCTCATTCTTCTCCCTGCCTCAGCAGCGGCGGGTCCTGAACCGCGGAGAGCAGATGGTTGCCCCTCTTTCCTCGAAAAGAGAGACAAACGAGAGCAGAGCTTTTTCATTAGAAAACGCTCGCAGTGAACGCAGATTGCCCCCTCGAGGACATCGCGTGCGTGCTCTTCGCCCAAACAAAAAACACCGAGATCGTGTGTGTCATCAGGTGTCAAATAACGATGACACGGATGCACACATCCTCTAAACACTTTGCTAGTGCTCGCCATAATGATAGGATAGAGATCGCTCTTACCATGGAAATGCATGCTTCAAACAAAACAGTCAGTGAAGACGAAGAAGTGGATGACGTGTTCTCCCAGCGCCTATTTATACAATATTCGCACTGGTAGTGACGTCATGGGCTGTCGCCGGTGTAACAGGTGTTATATTAATTTATTCATTTCACACAAAATCTCTCCCTTTGTTATTATCAATTGTTTTATATTTATATAATTATTTTGTATTCTGGCAATTTTTCTTTTAATATTGATTTCTTTTGTTTGAGATGTTATTTGAGCTGTTTCTATACTTATATGTTCATTTTTCAGTATTTGTTGTAATTGTTAAATATAGTACGTGGCCCCTTTAAGAATGAAGGTTCCGGTTGCTTTCCTTCAGTTCGCGGTAAGCGCGGCTGGGGGAAGGGGAGTTATGCTGGACCTGAAGCTAAAAAGTTTCAAATTAGTTCGTTTCTTGTGATTAATATGTATTTTTTTGTTAAAAATATAGTTTAATCTTACTGAAACACTAATAGAGATTGTGTAACATGAAGCATGTATTTTTTTTGTTTATTAACCATGTATGTCAGTTCCGTGGCTAAAATGATCCGTTTTGACTCGCAGGTCAATGCTGAAATTTTTTTTCATTCATTTTCCTTTTTATTCATTCAGGTATGTTTTCTATCCATGTTTCTGTTAATATTGTTGTTTTGAATTCATGTAAAATGTTTTATATTGAGAAAAATGTTACATTGTTGATTTAATCATATGCAGTTCATTTAAAAATTGTAATATGAAGTGAGTTCGCGGTAAGCGCGGCTGGGGAAAGGTCAATGCTGAAATTGTGGAGAAAGGCCACGGATTGACTTTTTTTTTTCATTAATTTTCCTTTTTATTCATTCAGAATAAAAAGTGGTCTATGGAATCTCTGTTGTCCGGTCTCATTAAATTATCAACACAACACAGAGTGAAGGTCCAGACCGGTCAGGCCGGCCAACGTGTTGTTGGTGTTTTTGAATGTATGCTTCAGACACGGGTCACGACGAGGCGTTCCCCATAGCGACCCCTAGAGGACGCAGTTCGAAGTTCCCTTGAAAGGGAACTGAAAGTCCATGATAATGAAAATAACTAAACAGAACCGTGACACCATTAATGATTTTTGTGAGCTTTGTCATTTTGTTGAAATGTTGATTATTATTGTTAACTTGTTCTTCTGTAAAGATGAAGTGATTCAAGCTTATTTTTTACAAGTCTACCATCTTGTAATAACACTATTATATAAAACAGCTGGTCTTTTAAAGCAAATATAATGTCACTTAGTGTATTTGCTACAATTGGTTTGCTAGTAGTCGAGAGAGGACGGTCTTGACATGGTTGATATGTTCATCTTCAGACTTCAGAGTAAATCAAGATGTCGTCAATGTAGGCTATTACGTACTGGTTCAGAAGGTCCCGGAAAATCTCGTTAATGAATGACTGGAAAACGGCTGGAGCATTGGCAAGCCCATACGGCATAACCTGATATTCATAGTGCCCCCTAGTGGTGAGGAAGGCAGTTTTCCATTCATCGCCCTCTTTAATTCTGATCAGGTTATATGCACTCCGTAGGTCAAGTTTGGTGTAAATGGTAGCCTCCCGGAGCTGTTCTAGTGCTGAAGGAACCAGTGGAAGGGGGCAGTGGAATTTCACGGTAACATTGTTAAGTCCTCTATAATCAATACAAGGCCTTAATCCTCCATCTTTCTTTTCAACGAAGAAAAAACCTGCTGCAACTGGAGACGTGGAGGGTTGGATGAATCCTGAGTTAAGGGCCTCTTCAATATATTCTTCCATGACTTGGGTTTCTTTTCTGGACAAAGGGTAGATCTTACCTTTTGGGGGCATTGCATTGGGAAGTAAATCGATGGCACAGTCCCAACGTAGAAGCAGAGGGAGCGGTACACAGTCAGTACTCAGGCGAGGGCTCCCTCTGCTGGTGTGGTGTTACACTTATTCGTAAATCACAGTTCTGTTTTTGTTTCTGCATTTAATTTTTCTGCAAACAGAAAAGAGATGAACATCTCCAGTGAGATCTTCAACACTGATGGGTCAAATTTTGGGGTTTTCCTATCAACTCCTATAAGATATGGCTTATAACAGGCAATGGACTCACGGCAGAGTTCTTCATTCTCAATCTCTCTGCCTGTGAGATGCTCTTTTGTATGGAATGTCTCTTGTGTCTTAGCTATAATTATAAAAATCTTTGGATAGCTTTTTTTTTATTCACTAAGCATCATCCTCTGTTTCAGTGTCTGATCTGTGTTGAGCGTTACCTGGCAGTGGTTCATCCTGTAACCTTTCTGAAGTGCAAACCTCTCAGATATAGAATGATCTGCTCTGATATTGCCTGGATGGCTTGTTTTGTCTCCAGTGGGATCAGTATTATGACTTTGTTCTTGTCGCAGGTTTATTTGTATTATATTTCAGCATGACACCTTTATCCCTCTTTCTCTTCATCCAGTTGTTTTGCCTTGTGGCTGTTCTCCGGGCTCTGAAGCAGTCAGGACCAGGAGAGAGAGGGAGAAGAGGAAAATCAGATGAAGAGAAGAGTGTTTTACATCAGTCTAATAACTACTGTGACCAGGCTAATTACATTTTCCCCCATATTATTTTAAATATTATTTTTGGTTTGGTGCATAATGGAGAAAAACTCATGTGCATTGGGTTTTTTGCTTTACTGCTGGTTTGGTGAAGAGAAGGTCCTTGTCTGGAACACGCAGATGAAAGATCCTTGAAAATTAAGTTTCTGAAGTCTGTGTAGAAGATTTGGACAGTCTGGTACACAAAGATGGAGGATCCCTGAAGAGAAGGTTTGCTTATGGGGAGCATAAGCTTGCGGTCATTTTTGCTGTTTCCGAACTTCCCAAAATTCACGTCTTGCAGAACACCTTTACTTCCAGACAGTTTAGAGAGTTTTAGAGAGAACCTTCAGAGAGAGTCTTCGGTCCTTTGAGAGTAGGAGGGATTTGCAAACTGGCGCCTTTCGGATCTACCATTGTGATTGGCTGTTGTTGTCAGCGGTGCCCACTGTACGGCCCCCTCTAGTGTGAAACTTATTTGCATAACTTAAAGTTTACAGTTAGAACAGGGTCTTTAAGGTTTTCTTATGCATAATTCACATTTCAACCCAATTTCAGGTTATTATGCTGAACCAACCATGATTGTGTAATGTTGAACTTTCACCCATACATTCATATATATAGGTAGGTAAGTTTGCATTGTTGTATTGTTGTGTCACAAACAGCACTCATCAAGCATTCTGCAAATACATATGGAGAGAATGTCCTGTGTGACGCTAGTATGTCAGCAAGTTTGGTTGTTATTTGTGTGACATTTTGTGATTTTTAATTGTTTGGTACAGTCAAGAAGGTCAGGACCTCTGAGGTACAGAAGGTCAGACCAAAATCAACATGTTTAGAGGGATACAGAGTTCATAACCAACTAGTTTTCATGCTAGGTTAATCATATGTTAGATAATACTTTATTAAACGCATCTAATAGTTAAAATTGCCATAGTAAATCACATCTGTTGTCTTAGGTTGATTTATTGCTTATGTTTCTAAATCTGTGTGACAGAGGAGCATGTGTTTTCAGTATTTTGAATCAGGGAGTTTTTCAATGGAAGGTTATTGAAAGCAGGTGGTTATTCAGGGGTGTGAAGGGATGTAATTGATAACATGTTGCTTTCATGTCTCTAAGATGAACCTAAAGGACATTTGTGAACATTTATTTGGTTATGTCACTTAGAGTATTTGCATATGAGGGTTTCAGGACGCATCCCAAATATTAAAGGCACATGTTTCATGCCATTAACACATCAGCTTGGAAGGCAGAAAGTCCAGTTATAAGTGATTATAGACTGTAGTACTTTTTCTGATAATATTTATTTATTTATAACTTGACTCATGATATCCTTTACAGACAACAAAACAGAGGTAAAGACCTGGTTATTGTTGCTTGTTTTGGCCAAAGAATTTAATATAGTCAGAACACTTGATGCTGATATATACTGAAAATAGAACTTTATAATAATTTATTTAGAGTAATTTTAATTATGTTATTCTTGTGGACTTACAATTGTATCTCTCTTTCATAGATCACGTTATTTTGACAGCACACAGTGAAGAGCTGAACATCTCCAGTGAGGTCTTCCCCACTGATGGATCTAATTTCTCTCATTACTTCTTTTTTAATGTTACTGAGGTGGGAATTGGTTTTCCAATGATGTCTGTGGTAGAGATGATCACCATTCTGTTGTTTTTTCCTATCAACTCCTATGTGATATGGCTTATAGTGTCAGGGACCGGGAATGGACTCGCGGCAGAGTTCTTTAGTCTTAACCTTGCAGTCTCCGAGATTTTCTTTTGTATAGAATCTCTTTTAACTTTTTTCACCTCAACATGTAATAATCTCTGGGTAGCTGTATATTTTTTAGATGGACACGCCATCACTGGTCGTCCTCTGTTTCAGTGTCTGATGTGTGTTGAGCGTTACATGGCAGTTGTTCATCCTGTAACCTTTCTGAAGTTCAAACCTCTCAGATATAGAGTGATTTGTTCTGTTATTGTCTGTGTGGCAAGTTTGGTCTACTGTGGGATCAATATTATATCTTTCTTCTTTTCTTTTATTGATTTGAATTTTATTTTAACCTTGGCACAGTTCTCCCTCTACCTCTGCATCCAGTTGTTTTGTCTTGTGGCTGTTCTCAGAGCTGTGATGCAGTCAGGACCAGGAGAGAGAAGGAGAGAGAGAGAGAGAGGAGGAAAACCACACGAAGAGAAGAGCGTTTCTAATCATTCTAATAACTGTTGTGGCCATGTTTCTCTTCTATGTTCCTTTTGTTATTTTGTCAGTTAGAGACTGAATTTCGGCAAATAATACTACTACACTCTTGTCTATTAGTTATGTTTTTTTTTTACTTTGGCTGGTTTGATGCAGCCGTTTCTCTTTCTCTACCGGGTCAGGAAACTACCCTTCATGAAATAATTATTCAATAATTCTTACTGTAGTCATCATTATTAAGTCTCTGTTATTTATCTTTGTCCATGCAGCTCCAGTATATAAATAGAAATATTACTTGCTGATTATATAATTCATCTTAGAAATAAGAATATTGTTTACTATTTACTAGAAATACAGCTACAGGAACTACATTTCAAATTTAGGCTAAATTAAGCTTTCACTAGCTATTCACTGTCTTTTAACTTATATTTCCCAGAAAGTAACTACATATTTTTTTTGTTCTTACAATAACTTGCAGAGTTGAATGGTTGAGCATGATGAATGCAGTCAACAATACAGAAAAAAGTAATGAAATTGACTTGGTTATATGCTATGCAACAGAGAATTATGAGATAACAGAGATCCATGCAAACTGCTGAAAAGAAATAACTATTATGATTTTAGTAATTAAAAGGTATTCATTTAAAAATAGTCTTGTTTCAATGAAATTAATATAGATTATCAAAATTTTGACATTGCTGTATTATTTTAATTGTTATACAGTTAATCAAGACAGGCTGAAATCACAACATTACTGCATGATAAATCACATCTACTGTTTTGACTTGATTTTGTTGTAGATGACATTGTTTTGTAACCCCGTGTGATAGATGAGTGTCGATTTTCAGTATTTTGAATGAGTTCATTTGTGAATAGATGGTTATTAAAAGCAGGTGATCATTGAATGACTTTTGTGATCATTCACACAAAACGCCTCTCAAGCTTCATAAATCTAAATCCAGATCAGAGCCTTGGCTTAATCATAGTACCCGCTCTTTGAGGCAAACATGTAGAAGCCCTGAATGGAAATAGAAAAAAGGCAAATTACAATTGCCATTCTAAATTGGTTGAAATTTTTTTAACTAACAAAAAATTCTCAGTTAAAATAGGTAGTCACACCCTCTGTGGGTAGCCTGGTTTGTGGAGTCCCTCAGGGTTCTGTTTTAGGCTTTTTTTGCAGAATTTGGTTGTGGCAACAGTTGTCTAAAATTTGACATTAAAAAAATTAGTACTGTACTGTCATCGTCTCCAGCTTCTTCCACCTTCGACTGTTTACTAAAATTATGTATTTCCAAAAAAAACTATAGATGTTGCAACCAATTATTTGATTATGTCACTTCTGGACTATCACAGGACTACAGGTGCATCTCAATAAATTAGAATGTCATGGAAAAGTTAGTGATTGTGAAACTCGTGTATTAAATAAATTCAATGCACACAGACTGAAGTAGTTTAAGTCTTTGGTTCTTTTAATTGTGATGATTTTGGCTCACATTTAACAAAAACCCAACAATTCACTATCTCAACAAATTAGAATACTTCATAAGACCAATAAAAAAAAACATTTTTAGTGAATTGTTGGCCTTCTGGAAAGTATGTTCATTTACTGTACATGTACTCAATACTTGGTAGGGGCTCCTTTTGCTTTAATTACTGCCTCAATTCGGCGTGGCATGGAGGTGATCAGTTTGTGGCACTGCTGAGGTGGTATGGAAGCCCAGGTTTCTTTGACAGTGGCCTTCAGCTCATCTGCATTTTTT